TAGCTTAGTTGACTAAGTTTATATATAAAGGAAAATAGTGCATTCAATAAAAGTGCTGAGTATTTTTTCCCCAAAATTCATCTCTGCATCAATATCAGTTTCTGCAATAAATGGGTAAGGAAATTGTTAAACAAGAATCTTTTCGTGATCCAGGGAAACGCAGTCGACTGTAGCATCATGATGAAATATATTGCGCATTAACAAATAAACGAGTAAGACCAAAGGCATTTAGATTCCAATTTCTATATATATATATATATATATATATATATATTATATATAAATATATATATATATATATATATATATATATATATATATATATAACAATTGTTGTTAACGTTTGACTTGATTTTGATTCCAAGGAACAGAACAAATACGAGGCAATTGCTTTACAATGTCTAAGATGAGAGAGATAAATTTAGCTCTGTGTACTTTCTCAAATATGCACAATCTGAAATTCTTGATAGTTTATAACTCAAGCGGAAAGAAGAATAATAAGGTGCATGGCTTTCACCACCTTGAATTTGATTTTAGAGAGCTAAGATACCTCAATTGGCATGGATACCCGGAGAGATTGTTGCCTTCAAAATTTCATCCAGAGTACCTTGTTGTACTCAGAATGTGTGATAGCAACCTTGAACTACTTTGGAATGATGTCAAGGTATGTGTTGCTGTTAGAATTTGAGATGGGTCTGACTTCTCATCCAATAAGGCCTTGCTGAATTGGAGGATTACCCTCTCTTACAACCCAATAAGCTTGAGCGTGCCTAGTAGGTGTGGGATTCCAACACTCCCCTTCACGGTTAAGCTCATATGTTGGGTCATGTCTATTAACAGAGGTAGTTGTTGGCTCTAACTCCCCATCCGTTGGTCAAACACTCAGCTCAATTGAACATGGGCTCTGATACCATGTTAGAATTTGAGGTGGGTCTAACTTTTATCCAATAAGGTCTTGTTAAATGGGAGGATTACCCCCTTTTATAACCCAATAGACTTAAGTGTGCCTAGTTAGTGTGAGACTCCAACTGTTACTTTTCTATAGCAATCTGAATTTTTACTTTTTAAAATTATATACATCATATTTTCTCATTTATGTTAGTTTTGTTTTTTACAGAATCTTGCAAATTTAAAATGTATTGAACTCAGTTACTCTAATCATCTACTCAAAATCCCAGAGCTCTCTCGTGCCACAAATCTTTAGAGCTTGATTCTAGAAGACTGTGGAAGTTTGTTAGAGATCACTCTCCCATCTCGTTCGAATGTCAATTCGCTTGTTACACTAAATCTCAGAAATTGCAAATACCTCACCAATGTTCCTCTTGGCATTCAATCAGAATCTCTTAGATTTGCTATTCTTTCTGGATGTTCAAATCTGAAGATAGCTCCAAATATCTCATGTAATATGGAACAATTCTGTTTGGATGGATCTGCTATACAAGAGTTTTCGTCTTCTTTCAAATATCCTCCTAAACTAGTTGAATTGGATCTTAAGAACTGTTGAAAGCTTGAGCGTCTCCGCAAGAACATTTGTGAGTTGAAATCTCTTCAACATCTTGTTCTCTGGGGTTGTTCAAATCTCAAGACTATATTCAAGCCTGCCATGTGAAATAGAAGCGTTATGTTTGGATGAAACCACTATGAAAGAACTTCCCTCATCGATGAAGTGTCTATCAAGACTAGTCCGGTTGAGTCTTAGAAATTGTTCAAACCTCGAGAGTCTTCCGGATTTCCTTTGCAAGTTGAAGTCTCTTAAATATCTTGATATCTTTGTTTGTTCAAAACTTGTCAAAGTGCCTGAAGGCTTATCAAATTTATTAACTTCAACGGAGTTGGAAGTTAATAAGTTTGTTACAAGAATGACCTCATCAATTGTACCTTTGAGCAACCTTAGTAGATCTCTTTGTCAAAGGCCGCAGTTGCTGTGTTCACCATCACATGCTTCATCGTGGTTTTTAGGGAGGGTAACTCTGAGTAACCGCAGTATCATGGAGTTACCCAGTATCATCATGAGTAACTTGTGGACTGATTCACTGTGGAAAAACATAGAGGTCAGTATTTCGCTCTCTCTAACTACATATTATTTAAATTTCCTTCTTCCATTTTTTTTTTTTTTTTAATTAATGAAAACAATTATCATGGAACAGGACTTCTCTGACTCTGAAACAATATGCACTGTTGTGAATTATCCTGGAAGTGAAATTCCCCAGTGGTTTAACTTTCAAAGTAATGGATACTCTAAGGAGCTACCACAAGGTTCGTTGAATCGTAACCTTGGAGGTTTTGCCTTTTGCATCGTTTTAGAATTCCAAGATTATGATTACGACGTCCACGAGTTGATTTTTGAGTATAAGTTACATCTGATATGCGAAGATGGCCGGAAGGAAGTTGCCCATGAACGTGTTTGGGCTTGGGAAAAAGAGAGCAGACCCAACTCTTTTGAGTCAGATCATGTAATCCTCGGATGTAAAAAAAAAATTGTTTACAAATCGAATTGCAGTAGTACGTCCACCATGATCTTCAAAGTAATCAATGATTTTTCTATGCCACCCAATTTTTGCAAGATCAAAAGTGTGGGGGTCATTTTTTTTCGTCGGAGGAAGTAGTTGAAGAATCTAGATCCATAACATTTTTAATCTTGGATGAAAAGGAGCAGGATCAAAAAGAAGCAGCACTATTTTATGCCCCATCATTCGTTTATATTAGTTAAATATTTATTCAGTTTATTCTATACAAACTCATCCTTAAAGTGTTTCATCATGGTGTTTTCTATGCTTTTATTTTTCCATTTCTGTATCAATTTGGCTGTGAAAAAGGAGTGGGTTGACTCCAATACAAATGAATCCAGTAGCTTTACTCTTTTCAATTTAAGTGAATTCCCTCAAGATTTTGTTATTCTCTAAATTGCTATATCAGGATACTCATGAATTGCGTTGATTATTTATTCTCTAAATTGTAAGATCATGATTTTGATATGCTTTTGTTTTTATATGCCTCTAGTAAATGAAAAAGAAGCACAAGAGTTCAATCCAAGGAAACGTCAATCAAGTAGTGTGAAACCCCATTTCTAATTTAGTTATATTATGAATTTTATTTTTTTTTAATTGATTTTATGGTATTGTGTAAGAAAGGGCACTTCTGTCAGTTTTTAAAATTTGTGTTAAGGGGTAAAAACAAAAGAAATAATTTCTTATGGGTTCGCCGTCGCAAGATGGAAAAATCTGGACACTTCGGCGAGGAAAGGCTGATGTGGCGGGGTTAGACTAGAATTAATATATTTTTGGGGGCATTTTTGTAATTTAAAAAAAATTATTTATGTTAAAAAACTGGCCTGTTCGCCCAAATGAAGAAGGAGACGAAGGAGGAGAAGAAAAAACAGGGGGGAAAATGGAGGAGGAGAGGATTTGAAGCATATCACTCCAAATCGGGTTCGGGTAACGCATTCATGGGGTTTAGGAAGTAATTTCTTTAATTTTTTTTCTTCTTTGCTTTAAGAGTGAGTGTTTAATCTTGGGCTTTTGGGTGTAGGTACGGAAGAGAAGAGTGCTTACACTTGATTTGAGTTTCGGCTGATCTGAAATAGTGAGTGGATCTAAATTGTTTTCCTGAAAAACTTAAACTCATACCTTTGCATGTCGAGATCTGATTATTGTTTATGGGTTTTGCAAAAATTTCTATTTAAGCATGTGTTTTGTGACATATTATTTTATGTGGGTTCAGCTGGTGTGTTAGAATGTGTTGTTTGCTAAATATTTTGCTGTTATATGGAGGTAGCTGGCTTATATTGCTGCATGGTTTCAGTTGAATGCTAGAAGTTATGTTATGGCAGTGAAAAACTTGTTTAACTTACCTTTGCATGTCATGGTTGGACAAGTTTTTGTGTAAATATTTTGTTAGATATATTGAGAGGGAATGAATTTTTATGTTGCGTGTCATGCAAATGCATTTATATAACTCTCATTATAATAAAGGTTTTTGAAAACATGTAAATTTTGAGTTGGAAAAAGACTTGTAGAGAAAAGGTTGGGTTTTGGTCTTTTTTTTAGTGGACTGCTGCTTGGGTTTGGAATGGATGGGTCATTGAAGAATGAATGGAGTTTGTATTAAATTGTTAGAAATGGGCCGAGCCCGTAGTAAGTGTTGAATTGTCTTACTTGTTTAATTTGTTGGACATGGCCTTCATGAATTTCTTTATACTTTTCCTTGGGTTACTTATTTAAAATCACTTCTTCATCTTTGATGTTTGTGATGTGTTATTTTAGAAATGTCTTAATATTGGTTATTGACTAGATTAAAAAGGAATGATTGTCCACGGGTGGTGTCGAATTAATGCATGGTGATATGATGTTGTGGTAAATTTGAATCTGGGTTAAACTGTCAGTACTGAAACATGTTTAAAAGTTTGCAGTTTCACCCCTGGATGTGATATGTTAATCATTATCTCAATATGCATAATTTATAAGCCAAGATGTGGTATGTTCATGAGTTATATGTCAGTTAAGAATATGCATGAGATTATTGTAGTTCTAAAACCCCCCGACGAAGTACCCGTCCCCCAGTGATACAGATTTTGGCTCTGCCTGAGCGATGTAGGATTCCTTCGGGTATGACAATTTCAGATTTTGGCTCTATGCATGCATATGACAATTATCAGTGTTCTATCTGGGCGTTGAGTGGTCTGCCAGGTATGACAGTCAAAGGCTCTGCCCGCGAGATGATAGATCTTGTCGGGTATGACAGGTACATCTCTTGCTTTGCTTGCGTGTGGGATGCCCTCCAGTATAGACATTTCCCCCAGGGTACTAGTTATGGTGAGAGTTTTTAATACTAGATTTGAGATTTTATTCAGAATTAGATACAGTTAGGTAAGTGAAATTAGAGTAGTTTATTGAGTGCAAGCGGTTAGAAATGAATCATATATGACAACCCCCCCCCCCCCCCCCCCCCCCCCCCCCCCCCCCCCCCCCCCCCCCCAAAAAAAAAAAACTAGAAACTCCCCAGGATCGTGCCGAGCAGTGAATCACCACTTAAGGTTGCGCCATGCGTCGACATTTTCTTATGTGTGTTTTCTATTTTATGTTGTAGTGTGTTTTGGATTTCCGCTACATAAATTCATGTTTCCCATCATATATTTTCTTTTATTTATGTTTGAAATGTGTAATATAAGTGGAAAACCTGATACCACAAGTTTCCTTGAATTTTTCGCAAAACAAAAGATGGTGTATGTTTTTGAGATGTTGGAAATGGAAATACCATGATGTTATTTAGTAAAAGTAAGTCTTTAACAGGTTTTATAGTTTTTCTACATGGCACATAGGGTATCTTGTGAGAGTGCCCGGATCCTACGGGATGAGGAAATTCGGGACAGGTTGTGTCAAGTTGCCTTACTCTTTTTTATTTGATTGGGGCAAAACCTAGTGGATTTGGTGTTTGTAATGACAACGAAGATGAACCACAGCCTAAAAGACTTGGAGAAGACAATTTCTTCTGAAGAGCAAAAGTCTATATCTTCTACTTTTGTTTTATAAATATATTGGTAAGTCCGGATCTCTATTTCTAGTCCAATTCTATGTAGTTTTGCTATCAATTTCTCTATATATGTTAGATTTATTATAATTAAGATGTACCATAAGGTTAATTATATTCTTTAACATTTTCTTATGAGAAGAATAATACTTATCCACATTAGGATATGCTACCTGAATTTAATGCAACATTTTCTTGTAACAACAAAACTATAATCCTAACCCTAAGTTGTTATTTGTTAGTCTATATTTATAGTTAACTTCTCTTAATTATTCAAGTTATTGCATCCGCACTTCATTTATAGTGCGCGTAATCCAAAAAGCAGTAAATTGTTCTGAGAAAAAGTTGATCAAATTTTACTAGTGACACTGGAAAAACTCAATTTTATTTGTTCAATTTGACTTCTTGGCATAATAAAATAAGTAAGAATTGCAACCAATATGATATGGATCATTATCGATAATTAACCAATATGGTATGGATATTGAGCTTTCCCTGTCTTTACATTGCTTCTTTGTTTCATTCTGTAAGCAAAATGGGAGCTTTTTATGTTGATGATACGAACCAGAACCATTGGTGTAATAAGTTTCTTCAACATATGACAACTGGTGAGATGAGTTACATCTGTTTTTGAAAATGTGTTATTATGCGTGTTCTTTTTAGTTTGCTTATCTATGTATTTATTTTATTTTTTCCGTTTTGTTGGCGAATCCACTGCATATTATAATTTACTAATTTTGTTTACTGGGAAAGCTTGACACAGTTCCCCTGTTTCATCAAAGAAGCTTTACTTGCTCAGTGATTTGGTACCTAGATAATTAGTTGAGTTACATGTTTTCTCTTTTGCTCCCTATGCGGCAGCTATGTCATGTATATGATAATCTTTTGTTGTCATTTGCTAACCAAATTTCTTTTTCCTCTCAAATGCTTTGCCTGATAATTAAGGGAAAATGATGAAATACTTGTATTTAGGAAGCCCCTTATCTGATTGAGATCCGTGTAATGGAAGTGTGTCTAAATGGGACTTCAATTCTTGTTACTTATGTTCCCCTTGCTTTTTTTTTTCTTATATGTTCAGAAGCATGTATAACTGAATCATTCTCTAGTTAGGTACGTATATGAAGTTCTTGAATTCTGGAATATGATCAGTTGTGATAACCATTTTTTGTTTCAGGGTTCTGGTTGGAAAAAGGTTGGCAGTTTTTAAGGACTTTTCCGAACAGATTCAAGCAGCGTCCTTTGGACAGACATTTCGAGATCAATAATGTCAAGAGGGTATGTTACTGCTGCTTATACCAATTCACTTCCTGTGAATAAAGGTGTAATCCTTTCAGGATTTTCCGTTCTTTTTCAATCAAATTGTGTTAGACATAGATGGTTATCAACTGTACCTTATATCCCTGAAAAAGGTTTGAGATGTTTTATATAAGGTGTCCTGGAGCTTGCAAATCTCAAAATCTATACCATATTGGTTGAAATTCATAATTTATTCTTGTTTCTGCTGCTGCAAATGACTGTTCATCAAAATGTCACATAATTCGTGAATCTGCAAAATTTGAACAATGCATTGTTGATTTTTTTTTTTCCTTCTCATATTTGTTGTGGCCATTTCAAGTGCTGCGTTAGATGGGTATAAGAATGAAGCAAGAAAGCTGAGTAGATACTTGTTCCTAAATCTTCAAAGTAGCTAATCGAATGTACACCTTGAATTGAAAGACTTGAGTTGTATTTGGGTTTTACTTTGGTATTCCATAAGGAAAGGACTAAGATAAATATATATGTTGACTTCAGTTAATTTACAACTTAATTATGTGAAAAATTTATTTTAACAAAATTCTGCATTTAGTTTACATAGTATCAGACCTCATTTGACCGACTTCAATGGCTGATTTCAGGTGCTTTTAGCTGTTGAAGCGCATGTCTCGATCGGAGATTATCTCACTGGATTGGTTCCAATGTCCTTTTGTTCGAGTGAAGTCTGAAATTTCTACTGGTTGTTACTCTGATTCTAATGCTTCTGTTTAAACAAAAAAGAAACCGAATCCAAGTTCATAGTTAGCTCCTGCTGTTAACTTTGATATATGAAACAATGTTTAATTTGGTGATGTATCAAAGTGCATGTCTTCCTCTAAAATTTTGAAAGCAATTTCAGATTCATTGACACTTAGTGGATGGTTGTTATTGTATAATAATGCTCTAATAAATACTCAAATTTATTAAACCATGAGTCATCCCAATAGAAAACCCACTAAAGTTGGGTTGACTCTAGATCATCTAGTATATAAAATTATACATAAAAATGATCCTAATAAAATTAAAAAATAAATCCCCAAAAAAATATAGTAATTCTTTTCTCCAATCCAGGATTTATATGTGTTCTTTATTGCATAGATAACCCTGCATTCTAATGCATTGTTCTTACCTTCAAAACATGTGTTGGTGTCTTAAGCCGGAGAATGCTAAGAAAAGAAAGTGAGAAAAATGAGTTGAGAGGAAAAGGTTGATTTTTATTGCAATAACATTACACTTTTATACAACAAAGCTGCTCACTGTTACACCAACTATTCAGAGATATTTATAAGTTTGAAATTTTAAAACAAAGTTTACAACTAATACACCCTTAATCACAGCTGACAGCACCTAAATTTATCACGAAAACATATCAACTTCAGCAGCTCTTACACAGTAGAATGCAAGGCAAAATATAGAGCTTTTTTGGCGCCAAAAGGTTTTTTCAAAACAAACTGAATTTCAGTTATATTTCCAGCAAAATATCACCGTTCAACATTCCTCTTTGATATTTTTGCTGGAAACACCAAGTCTGAGCTTAAGGTCTTCAAACTTGGTTTTGTACAAGCCTTTGGTCATGATATCAACCACTTGATCCTCACCTCTGTAATGGACCAGCTTAACTTCCCCATCTTATTCAGCTTCTCTTACAGCATGGAACTTGATTTTTATGTGTTTAGTTCATCCATGATGAATTGGATTTTTAGCCATAGCCACAGCCGATTGATTGTCACACATAATTGCAGTAGGATTTCTTTGTTTCAGCTTCAAATCTTCCAGGATTTTTCTCAACCAAATGGCTTGATTCACAGCAGCAACAGCTGAAATATACTCTACTTCTACTGTGGATTGAGTCACAGTTTCTTGCTTTTTTGAGAGCCAGCAAATTGCATCACAATTCAAGAAAAAAGCATAACCTGAATTGTTTTTCATGTCCTCTATAGAACCACCCCAATCACTGTCAGAAAATCCCACCAATTCAAAGATTTCTGACCTCCTAAACCATACTTCAAAGTTAGAGCTACCCTTTACATATCCTAGCACAGCTTTGAAGTGTTCCTTGGGCTGACTCATAAATCTGGACAGCAAGTTTGTAGCATACATTTTATCTGGTCTAGTTGCTATTAACTACAGCAAACAGCCAATCAAACTCCTATACAACCCTTCATCAATATTTTCTGCATCATCATCTTTTGAAAGCTTTTGATTAGGAACCCATGGAATGTCCACTGATTTGCAATTCTCCATGTTGAATTTCCTTAAAACTTCACTTGCATACTTCTCTTGGTTGATAAAAATCCCATTTGAACCTTGATAAGCCTACATCTCGAGGAAATAAGACATTTCCCCTAAATTTGTCATCTCAAACTCATTGAGCATGGATTTCTTGAACTCCTTCAGTTGAGCTAGTTTACTCCCTGTCACAAGAAGATCATCAACATACAAGGAGATAATAATCACATCCTCATCAACCTCTCTAACATACAAAGTATGTTCATTTGGACTTCTCACAAAATCCAAGCTTATTAAGTGATCATTAATCCTGCTGTACCAGGCCCTTGGTGCCTATTTCAGGCCATACAAGGCTTTCTTCAGGAGATAGACTTTATCATCACTTCCTCTGATCTTGAACCCTTCTGACTGTTCAACATATATTTCTTCATTCAGCCATCCATTGAGGAATGCTGATTTAACATCCAACTGCAAAATTTTCCAACCAAATTGAGCTGCCACAGCAAGCAATAATCTAATTGTATCATGCCTAGCTATCGGTGCAAATGTGTCCAAGAAATCAACTCCATATTGCTGAGCAAAACCTTTGACAACCAGCCTAGCTTTGTGCTTAAGAACTGAGCCATCCAGATTGAGTTTCCTTTTGAAAATCCATTTAATTTGGATTACTTTTCTGTTCTCAGGTCAGTCCATAAGTTTCCAGGTTTGGTTCTTCTTAATCATTGCTAGCTTCTCCTTCATGGTAGCTCTCCAAGCCTCTGATTTTGCTGCTTCAAAGTAGTTTGTTGGTTCAAGTGAAGCCATGTTGCACCTCTCATAAACCTCAGCTAAAGGTCTGGTGCCTCTAACCGAGAGTTCCTCTTCTGCATCACTCTCATCTTCTTCAAAAATCTGATCACCAGCAGCTTCTATCCATTGAGGTCTTGTCTTTACATCAACTTTGCTCTCTTCCCAATTCCAAACTCCATCCTCATCTACTTTGACATCCCTGGAGATTAGAATCTTTCTGGATTCTGGAACATACACCCGATAAGCTTTGGATTAGCTGTTATACCCAATAAAAATCCTAATCAAGGCCTTATCATACAACTTGGATATTTTGGCTGCTGGAACTAAGATATAACATATACTCCCAAAAATTTTGAGATTGTCTACTACTGGTTTGACTCCATACCAGGCTTCATAAGGAGTTTGGTTGATTAAGGCTTTTGTGGGAAGCCTATTGAGTAAGTACACTGCGATGTTGACAGCTGCTGCCCAAAAATTCTTTAGCAACTTCTTCTCAGCAAGCATACACCTTGCCATCTCCATAACATACCTGTTCTTCCTCTTACTATCTCCATTTTGCTGTGGAGTGTAGGGGCTGCTATACTGATGTCTAATTCCAACCTCCTTGCAAATTTGCTCAAACTCTTGAGAAGTGTATTCAGTACCATTATCACTTCTCAAGGTTTTGATGGTTTTTCCTGTTTGGTTTTCCACCAGCTAGTTAAATTTCTTAAACACACCGGCTACCTCTCTTTTTTGCTTCAAAAAATAACCCAACACATCCTGGACCAGTCATCTATAAACAACACAAAGTACCTACGTCCACTCAATGATAAAGCTTCCATAGGTCTACACGCATCTGAGTGAATGAGCTGAAGTTTTCCAACAGCTCTCCAGGCTTGGTTTACAGGAAAGGGCTGCCTACTCAACTTGCCAAGTTGACAAGCTAGGCATACAACCTTAATTTCTTCAATTTCGAGTAGATTCTGGACCAATTTTTTGGTCTGAAATTCTTTAAGGCCATGATAATGGAAATGACCAAATCTCTTATGCCATTTTTCAAACTCATCTACCCTAGCATTATAGGCTCTAACTTCAGATTTTTCTCACTTAATAGGGAAGCTCTTTCCCTCCATTTTTACTCTCATAAGTTCACACCATTTACTATCCAAGATTTGGCAGGTTTGGTTTTCAAAATGCAGGACATAATTATTTTTCCAACATTTGTCCTACACTAAGGAGGTTTTGACTAATTTCGGGTGTATAAAGTACATTGGTAATGAGTTTTGTACCTGTTGGTGTCTAAACAGCAACATCTCCCTTTCCTCTTGCTTCCACAAACTCACCATTTCCCACTTTGATTCTGGACTGATATGCATGATTCAATTTGACAAAGTTCTGCAGGTTTGGTGTCATGTGGTTTGTACATCCATTATCAACCAACCAACCTTCATTGCTTGTTTGTGTTACACCGCAGGAGGCTACAAATAGTTGTTTTGTCCCTTGCTCTGGTTGTTGATCATCGGTCACTTGAGCTTGCTGTTGGGACTGCTCTCCTTTGTTCTTGCAGACCCTCTCTATATGGCCAAACTGTTTACAGGCTCTACATTGTATCCTTGGCCTAAACTAACACCTCTTCTGCAGTAATAGCAAGGTGGATACTCCTTCATCCCACTAACCATTGCTCATTTCTTTACTCTTTTTGTCACCAGCATATCTCATATTGTTCCCTTGTACAGACTTGCCTTTGTGAGTTGTCATCATTGCACCCTCACTTGCATCTTTTTGCCTCAAGAGCCTTCTTTGCTCTTGTACTTGCAATGCATGGACTAACTCAGTAAGAGTGATCTGCGACATATCCCTTGAGTCCTCAAGAGAGGAAATTTTGGACTCAAACCTTTCGGGCAAGCTCACCAAAACCTTCTCCACAACTCTCCTATCTACCAATTCCGCTCCAAGCAACCTAATTTTGTTGACTACACTCATCAGCCTGTCAACATACTCCTTAACTTTCTCTGATTCTTGCATCCTCAACATCCCAAACTCCCTTCTTAGATTCAGCACCTGCATATTCCTTGTAGTGTCACTTCCCATGAATTCCTCTCTCAACTTGCCTCAAGCTTCTTTTGCAGTTTCATATGCCATTATCCTTGTGAATACAAGGTCTGTTACAACATCATGGATGTGAGATAGGGCTCTCGGTGCCTTGGCAACTTCTTCTTCATGCATCATAATCTGATTCAGGGTGGGATTTGGTCCCAACTGAGGTGGTTGACAATTCTCCTCCACATACAGCCACAAGCCTTGGCCCCAGAGAAAAGCTTTCATTTTTATAGCTCACATGTGATAGTGTTCTCCATTGAAAACTAAAGGTGACATCAAGGCTGATTGAGCAGCCATCAGTTCAATTTAGATGTCTAAAGAAGGAGAAATATGAAGTCTAAAACAAAGAAGTTCTTGAGCTGAGATGAAGGATTGAACGTGGGAGGGAGAGATTCTAGGTTAGTAAGGCTTTGATACCAGTTGTTGGTGTCTTAAGTTGGAGAATGCTAAGAAAAGAAAGTGAGAAAAATGAGTTGAGAGGAAAAGGTTGATTTTCATTGCAATAACATTACACTTTTGTACAGCAAAGCTGCTCACTGTTACACTAACTGTTTAGAGATATTTACAAGTTTGAAATTTAAAAACAAAGTTTATAACTAATACACCCTTAATCACAGCTNTAGTCTTGAAAATGAGCTAGGTGAAGAAGGAATTAAGGAAATCCTAGGAAAAGAAAGAATTAATCCAGCTTATGTAGCCTGGAAGAAAACTGATAAGTTTCTTGTCACGTGGCTTCTTGCGTCAATTTCTGAGTGTATGTTTAGTATTGTGTCCAAATG